TCTAACTGTTTGGTGCAATAAATGCATCTATCTATTCATCAAAACTGCTTAGTTAAAGGGACACTATGGTCACCAGAACAACTATAGCTTAATATAATCATCCTGTTGTCTATAGCCTGTCCCTGCAGGCTTTTCAATGTAAACCCTGCCCTTTCAGGTAAGTGGCAGTGTTTACATTGGTGCCTAGTAACATCTCTAGTGGCTCCAATCAGACTGTCACAAGAGATGCTTTCTCTGTCAGTGCTGTGCAGTGTGTAGCACTGGCTTTCAGCATCTCCACGCTCTGCATGGAGACACTGCTTGTTTCCCACAGAGATGCATTGATTCAATGCATCTCTAAGAGGAGATGCTGATTGTGGCTTTTTGCTGCACATGCACAATGGCCTCCCAATGCTTTCCTATAGGAAAGTATTAGTTTGGCTGAGATCATTGAGATTGAAGATTTCAGCCACAGAGCCAAGGCGAGACTGACATGGCATGGGAAAAGGGGTGTGTAAAATTACCTTTTCAGAACCATCTAGGGGGTTCAGACCTAAACAGCCACACAGGCACTATAGTGACAGGAATACATGTTTGTATTCCTGGCACTATAGTGTTCATTGAAGCCAAAATGCTTTTGGTGCCTATAGTATCCCTTAACCCCTTAAGGACCAAACTTCTGGAATAAAAGGGAATCATGACATGTCACACATGTCATGTGACCTTAAGGGGTTAAAGGATCACTCTGTGCCTAGATAGAAGCAACTTGATTGCAATTATTAACTGTTTCATTTTCTGTAGTGTGACTGTTAGCAACCTTTTTTCTACATGTGGTTACTTGCTATTACAGTGGAACTTGACAAACTTGCTATATTGGACTGTGTGAAATCTCTGGACTTTTTAGTGCAGGTAAAATCAACCAATCAATCCTTTTATTACATTAGAACAAATTAGTGGATTTCAAAAGAAATGTTCTAAATGTTTTCTGTGGCTGTCGTGACTATGGTCATGAGTGCACAGGCACCCCCACCCTCCCCTCACTTCTTCATAACAGAAAAAATGGACTACTGGAGGAAATAAAAAAAAAGTGCCAGAGTACGCACAAAATGCATCAGAATTGATTCAGTACTTCCCTTGCATGCTTAAGCCAAGATGTTACCTGCATTGAATAAAGGTTAATTTCTTTTCCTTGTTTTTGCAGATTGAGGCTTTTTATTTCTCTTTGTGAAGGAATCCATCAGTTTTACTTTTTTTCCAGTTTAATTTCTTACCTGCGATCCTCTTTCTGTCTTTGCTACTTCAGTTATGGAACCAATAGCTTTCTGTCTTATCTAAGCCTGGAGATGTAGGCCGTAGCTCACTCACTGAGAGCAATCAGCTGACACTCTCATCCAATGAGCTAACCACGCACTTCAAGGCTTAGGTCAGGAGAGCTAATTGAAGCTGTTCCTCAGGAGCTTTTTTAGTTTCTGTCTTTCTGTCAAAATTGGTGGAGGCAGAGAGTGGCACCCAGAAGACCCCAGCTAAGAAGTTAAACCATTCTAAATAGGTTTGTGTGACTGACCACCCGGTCACCTAGGACTAGTACATGGCTCCCAGCCACCACCTCCTCCCAAAGAAGCTGTTATCACTGACATTTTCCCCCTCCAATACGTGCCTCCCCTCTTTCCTTGCCCAGGAGTAGCGCCTGACCGGTAGCCACCCACATATTGCCTGGAACTACTGATCGGATTGTGGGGTTGCTGCTGTAGCAGAGCCCTAGTCCCAACAGGGACTTCCTCTCTGCTGGATCACCCAAGAGTAAAATCAGGAACAAGAAACACCAAGCAGATATTCCACCTCCTCCCCAGCAACTGGATGACACACAATTCTGGGAGTACAACTGGTTTAATGCATCCAAACACAGCCTTTTTCATACACAGACCCCAGGGGGTCCCCATTGTCTTCACCACAAGCCCCTCCCAGGAATCTGTGGGCCTGGGAGATAATTGCGTTAAAGACAGGTAAGCTAATTATTTCCCAGGAACAAAGAGGCAAACAAACATAATAAAACCATAAATAACCCCACAAATAACACATTGTTAAATAGCCCTGATCTGAGTGCCCAAGTTTTCCAAATAGCGCTCAGATCCATGCAGTGTAGGGGAAATGCCACCGCATTAAAGATCTGACCGGCCGCACATGTGGTCCTATGCTCAAAATAGTTCCAGGGCGTTTGGTGCTTTTGCCAGTCAACTTCCGGGAGCTCCTGTGGCCGCAATACGAGGTGCTCTGCCTGGCTCTTAAGTAGCATTTGTTCCCTTTAGTCTCAGGCACCTTCCCTCCAAAAAGCGCTCTCCTGGCGGATTTCACAGTTCAAAACCGCGAACGAAGTTGTACAGGAACAGCATGGTCACCTCATGCCGAAAACAGTTCCATAACATTGGTGACCGGGAACCCACAAATGCTGAATTTAGTTCCATAGCGGTTGCGGCTAAGTGCCGCTGCGACTATTCGTGGGTTTGGTTCATGTGAATGGCCACCAGAGAGCCAGTTTTTGGTTCAATTCACATGAAGGGAAAGTGCAGAACCAGGGGCACTGAGGGAAAACTACTAGTGGCACCTGGACAGGGTAACTCCCAAACAGTGTCCCAGACCTGGACAATAGTCGGTGGTCAGGAGGTCGGCTTCTACACTCCTCCAGGAGTCCGTAGCAAACGTACGCAGGAAGCAGCGTTTGTCACAGCCGCGGTCTTGTAAAACTTTGCCTAGGATGCTCTCGGAAACAACAATCAGGATGCTTCTTGGAGGGGAGACAGGAAATGTGGCGAGGCATCTAACGGTAACAAGGACTTGTGTGAGCAAAGCGCCATCAACCCAACCTAGCTTCATGGAACCCAGTGCTGGATCAGAGGCTAGCCGTGACCCACTGAATCTTGGACTTCCACCTAACTTGGGCTAGCCATATTCAATCTAGGCGCTTTTTGGCCTAAGTGGGCGCTCTGACACAAGCTTCATGGGGACACCAGTTGTGTGGCGATGTGGGCATGGGAGCCAAAGTTATTGATTTTTTTTTTTAAAATTCTTTATTTTATTCGTGCATAGATTTAACAAGCAGTTTTGCACTGCCACGACAGCTGGTGTAAACATAAATGAAACATGTGGTGACAGTAATGTGGCATAAGAAACATTGCACATTTTTTATATAAACAGAATTATGCTTAATAAGAGTTTGCCATGCTTAATGAGATTTAGTTATGCTTAGTAAGATTTAACTGTGCTTAGTTAGAGTCAGTCATGCCTAGTCAGGGTTAGCCATGTTCAGTGAGGCTTAACCCTTCTCATTAAGGGTTAACCATGCTCAGTGAGGTTTAACTATGCCCAGTTAGGTTTAACCATGCTTAGAAAGGGTTAACTATGCCCAGTTAGGTTTAACCATGCTTAGAAAGGGTTAACTATGCCCAGGTAGGTGTAACCATGCTTAGAAAGAGTTAACTATGCCCAGTTAGATTTAACCATGCTTAGAAAGGGTTAACTATGCCCAGTTAGGTTTAACCATGCTTAGAAAGGGTTAACTATGCCCAGGTAGGTTTGGTTTAACCATGCTTAGAAAGGGTTAACTATGCCCAGTTAGGTTTAACCATGCTTAGAAAGGGTTAACTATGTCCAGGTAGGTTTAACAATGCTGAAGACGATTGAACCACCAGGGGGCAGCAGAGCGTTGCGCCGATCGGGTCGGATGTCCATATTTGCTCAGGTATCTTTGATGCTTTCTGTAGGGAGCAGCAGGAGGAGAGTCAACTGTAATAGGTACAAGCTTCTGATGTTGAGAAGAGTTTATGTCCCATGTCTGTTGGTCCCTTATGAGACTGCCAGTAACCATGTGGGACAGTGCCTCAGGTGTTCGCAGATGTGGGCTTTGCTCGAGCATGCCCTCCGTGTCTGATGTGCTGCCAGAGTGTGCTATTGTTTGCGGGCCGCAGTTAGTGTGTGGTAGTCTGGTCCACGTTGGTCTGCAGGCAGTTCCCAGAGGTTGCTCCCCTGTTGCCGCCTCCATTCCCCAGCTAGTGAGGGTCGCGGCGGCCATTTTGGCTTTTGCCATGCGGTCCCTGCTTGGGCGGCTCACAGCTCTTGGGTGGTCACTGCTTCCCCGGTGGGGTCTGGGAAAACCCCCCGGCCCACAGGGGGGGTAACGGGGCCCTTAGTAAGCGTGTGGGAGGTCCCGCCGGACTAAGTGCGAGAGACCGGCCGCGTCTCCCGCCAGAGCCTCACGACAGGCCGCAATCCCAGCTGCCCAGCAAACAGCATCGCCGGTAGGACGGGGGCAGTTACTCACACAGAGTGTTGTGCTCTGGACCCCCTCGCCTTCTTGCAGTTGCTGTGTAGTTTTGCAGGGGAGAACTGTAGTTTTAAGCCTGGATAGTAGGTATTCGTGGAGGAGCCGAGGTGCCCCACGTCCATCCAGCTCGGCGGTCAGGCCCCGCCCCTATTGATGTTTTTTGTGCTCCGGTGCCAACCCATTAATTAAATTAACTGATCAGGTACAAACACAAAGGCGTCGGGAAGTCGCAATTGTATTGTTCACCCTTCACTAAGTCTCAACTAGCGGTATATACTGCAGAAGAGAGCATAATCACTCTGGTGCTATAATTACAAGGTAAAGGGTAACCTTGGCTAGGCAAACCTGACTACTCAGGGGAATACCACCACAGTTTGAATACGTACTAAGAAGGAGGGTTAGTGGTAATGGTGCTTGGAGTGTTCCTTTAGGCATGCATGGTTGACACCTAAGATTCTTCACCTCTAAATGGGAGAAAACAAAAGTCACTTGCAAGAAGAACTAACATATTACATTCTGGATTTTGTGGGTAAAATGAATTATCATAACAATGTATATGTGGGATAATTATTACAATTGCATGAATACATTAAGTTATGTACAAAGTATAAGGTGAATAATTGTACCCTAATCTGTATACCTCGTTCACAAGGATCCACAGCAACATCAGGAAATATGTCCTCTTCAAGCAAGTTATTACTGTTCCTAAAGCAATTGACTGTATTGTTGCACAACCCCGCAGGGCTATATTGTGCATAAATAATGTATCATGTGGAGCATGATATCACCGCCTTCCTTGGAGGGTACAATAGAAATCCACTTTACTTGTAAAGGCATAGGAATGTGGATTCAAGAACACCAAATTTGTGTTCAATTACCAAGCAGGTGGTCTGGTAATTATTGTTGTGTTGATGAATGCAATTTCCAAAGCAGAGTCCTGAGCCAAGAAAGACAGGCATATTTCTTACTACCTGTACTTGAGAAAGGAAACACTTTTAGTTGACAAGTTGTTGTGGTCGTGACCTAAATATGAATATTAATCTCTTAATACATAATAATTAAGCAATACGGAACAACATTAATATTTTTATAATTCATGGTATTATGGTCGAATATGTGGATAGAAAATACACAAAACGTTGTAATATTAAATGTATATTTAATATAACTATAACAAATAAACAGATGCTAGCAGAATGTCAATTTACTACAATTATGATACAATACAAATATAACTATAACAAATAAACAGATGCTAGCAGAATGTCAATTTACTACAATTATGATACAATACAAAACTACAACATATTACTTACAAAAGGTTGCTAAATGTTACACAAAAGGCTATTACAATTGCTAAATGTTCATTTTACTTACAAGGCCCCAGCCCTTTGGCTGGGGTTAAGTCAGAGCTGGTACTACATCTTAGGTTCAGTCAGTTACAGGCAAAGGGACAGAGTTTTCTCCTCCATCTGGTTTTATTCAGTGTAAGTAGGCTGGCCTGTGATGTCACTGCCAGAAGCACATGTCTTCCTACACACTCCCCCTAGTGGTGCCCCCAAAGCATTACACTAAATATGCTTTCTTTATGATGTAAAGTCATTAATTAATAAATACCATTACAAACCACCCTTTGACTTATGTCATAAAACAAGCATTTATAAAACCAGTACATTTTGAATCTTCCCCATTTTAACACTACCTGCCCTACAACAAAACCCACCTTTTGAAGAACGATACCCATTTACCCATTAATTATTACCCATTAACATTTTATTGCTTATATAAATGTTCACCATTGAGCACATGCATTACCAGTTGGGAAATAGGCACATACCCACCCTTATAATAATGAACAACTCAAACCATGTTTTATTAGATTAACCAATGATATTGTGTTCATGTGAGGATGTGTTTTGGAGCTTAATATAGTATTAGACACCACAAACTCATAACACCTATGAATCATGGCACAGACCGACTCGATTTCTGTAGCCTCTGGCTGGTCTGTGTGCCTGGAATTTTCACAAACATTAGTCCTGGAAACTGGATACTCTATTCTTCGACAGTCTCATAGAACATACGCATGGAGACAGGGATGAATGAAACAGTTCATGTGATCAAGAACTTTTGTGTGTTTGTGGTCACATTGTTTTGTTTTTTCTTTCTTTATACCATTAACCACCTTGACATAACAGTTTCCTGCTCCTGATGCATTTTGTTCCGACTCTCACCACTCTTAGCTGCAATATTTATTCTCCTTACAGCAACAGTTGAGCATAGTGTCCAGTGCTTCTTCTTCTGCTTAAAATATCCTTGCTTGAAAGTTCTTGACTGAAAACACAGGCAATGACGAACACAAACATAAATAATAACTGTGCCAATCATCATAAGTACCATTTGATTGTGGTGTCTTAACCATATTTTTTCCTATGGCGTTTGGATAAATACCTACACACCTCTCTTCACATCCAGCACACTCCTGATTCACAGATAAACACAATATCACTGCTGTATCTACCAATTTAACCCAAACACTCGTTATTACTGCTGCATTTACCAATTTAATCTAAACACTCGTTATCATTGCTGTATTTAACCAATTTAATCTAAACATTAACCAAAACAATTACATTCCTATTTACCACCCTTCTATTTAAACATGTATAGATAACCCAAAATGCCTACTTTCTCTTATCCCTCTTATTTTTTTAGTTTTTGAACTGCAACCACTCATGCACTTTACACAGACACAAATCAAACACCTACTGGACAATGGGGTTCCCTCGTTAGAGCCCTCCCACCCCAGTTTGGTTTACACAAAAATACCCCCTGGTCCCTATGGGTCAATTTCCCCCTTTCCCAGGCAAGCATACATACATACATACATACAACAATAATAATACATAAGGGTTTCAATTGCAATACAATCACTAGAAATAAGAGAACAGTATGCACAAAATCATAGCATAGACATGTTAAATAGACAATAAAATAAAACATTCAATAGCTCATCAAAGGTCAACATTTAACACTGGTCTCCATTTGATATTCTATCTGTGTTCCAATGTCCACCCCTGGTTTCTGCTATATCTGAAAAAGGTAAGAAAACAGATCAGGATTACTTTTCCTTGTCACTTATAGCGTATACTGCCAAATCCTTTACTTAGCATATATACATATATACACATATAAATACATTCCCTAAACTTTTCATTTTATAAACAATTTGTTCAACAAGGTAACTTTCTTAATTTTCTACTTGGCTCTTAAAATAAACAATCAGCTAATAGCTGCTTTCTGCATCTTCTCTGCAATTCAGGAAACACATTTCTAGCCAACCTAAACATGTTTAATAACTCTCCACCCTTTGGTTAAATTATAGAGGAGTGAACCACAACACCTCTTCCGCCTCTGAAAGGATATAGGTCAATATGTCTCAAAGTTCAACACTTCTGACAGCTATGAGTGACTCCCTATTAATTTCTAGCCTTTCCACGGACATGCTTGCACCTCGCGGCTAAGGGCCTGCACAACTAACCACCCTGTGATGGCAGTGGCTTTCCGCATGGGGGTGACCGCCCCCGCAAAATTATAGAGGAGCAAACATACAGCAGCCTCTTTTCCGGCTCGATTAAAGGTTCTGGGCCAATATGTCTGCAATTTAACCAGTACATTCACGTATCACTTATTGTATATTTCCTGGTCTCTCAGGAATTTCTATTAAATAGCGTATCCCCTTCCCAGGGCAATATACAACAAAAACTAGTCACCAAGGGTCTCTATGGTCATGATAGGCCACCCTACCACTAGTGTAATACGCCCTTTTTTTAAAATATATTTCCTGGTCTCTCAGAGATTTTGCCTATCCCTTTCCCAGAGCAATATATATAAACAATTACAAATAAGTTACAAAACGCTACTTATAAGTAATACAGGGTTTCAAATAATAATACAGGATAGAACTGCACAACAACCTTTTGGGTATGCTCCCCCTTATCCGGACACGTTTAAATACCCCCTAGCTCAGGTTCCCCACCCGCTACTGTAACTAAAATCACAGCCCACGTTATGGAGGTTCACCCGCTAGGCAGATACACCCTAATTCAAAGCATGGAAATATTAAAATCAGTTATAGATGGCTTCTAAAATAATATAAATCTTAATCTGAGCCCCTACACTTACTTTGTTAAAAATGCTAACTTGTTAAAATATTCAGACTAAATAGGACAAAGGAATTATTTTACCATTTTTCAGTTCATTTGTTACCAGTTCCTGCATATGTCCAGTAATTCCTTAGTCCTGGATAATAAAGCTGAAAAACACTCCACAAATTGATTAGCTTAGGCAATTACATTTACAAAACAATGCAGTTTATTTTTTCTCATACAGGCAAGACTACCCACCCCCAACAAGGACAAATTCTCCCCCAGCTGTAGCTGAAAAGCATGGTCACACAGCTGTTAAAAAGGTGGTCTCTCCTTCATGAGTCAAAATCATATATATATTTATACTAATATTCTGTGTATACGCACACATAAATCTATTATTCACTGAATCTGCTTTACTAAACGTATCTTTTTCTTAACTACTAATTTAATCCATTTTGTCCAAATCTCTTTTCAACTAGACAAATCCATGAATGCCAAACAAATGTAAATTAGTACACAAACAGAGTCAAATTTAGCAATAAAACCTGGTGAACTAGTTTAGTGAAAAGTCTTTTCCTATGCAAATGGTAGCAAACAATGAAACTAGGCCTCAACTCATTCACACCATGTGGTCAATGGTGGATTAAAATCCACATGGTCAGACAAAAAGTAAAATTGTTTTTTGTTTTATATATAAAAATGACCAAAGGTTGGTAAAACGTAACAAGCAACACAATAATTCATCACTATGTTCTTACAACAAGAGATACCTTAAAAAACAAATATCTAATCCCTATCTGCTATCTGCATTCATTCCATTAAAACCAAATCATCATTCATTTATTCATTTGTATACAGACAGACAATTTACAGTATGATTTAAGCAAAATGCATAACATTTATATTTTCCCCAATATTCAAGCATAATCCTGCCGACTACGCCAAATGTTGTGGTCGTGACCTAAATATGAATATTAATCTCTTAATACATAATAATTAAGCAATACGGAACAACATTAATATTTTTATAATTCATGGTATTATGGTCGAATATGTGGATAGAAAATACACAAAACGTTGTAATATTAAATGTATATTTAATATAACTATAACAAATAAACAGATGCTAGCAGAATGTCAATTTACTACAATTATGATACAATACAAATATAACTATAACAAATAAACAGATGCTAGCAGAATGTCAATTTACTACAATTATGATACAATACAAAACTACAACATATTACTTACAAAAGGCTATTACAATTGCTAAATGTTCATTTTACTTACAAGGCCCCAGCCCTTTGGCTGGGCTTAAGTCAGAGCTGGTACTACATCTTAGGTTCAGTCAGTTACAGGCAAAGGGACAGAGTTTTCTTCTCCATCTGGTTTTATTCAGTGTAAGTAGGCTGGCCTGTGATGTCACTGCCAGAAGCACATGTCTTCCTACACACTCCCCCTAGTGGTACCCCCAAAGCATTACACTAAATATGCTTTCTTTATGATGTAAAGTCATTAATTAATAAATACCATTACACAAGTATATGCGCGCATGTTGAATATAAAATAAGGGAGGTTTGTACTGCATCAGGAGCCGTTCATCTTCTTGAATTTATTGGTGATGTATAACCTCTTAAGTATTCTGAATATATATATATATATATATAAAAATATATAAAAACACACACAATACACAAGATCCCGCGCACTAACTTATCCACAAAACAGCAACTTCAAAGCTAACATATTTTATTATCATTATTTTTATTTTATTTTTTTAAACACTTAATCTAGGCAAAAATAATGGGGGTTAAGTTACAGTATATGATCATACAATGCATAAACCATAAGAGCAGACATTAGGCTGATAGAGTACGACGTGCCTCCCTGTCACAGGTGCCTCATACCAGGGCCTACTTAGTCTTGTACTGCAGAGAGCCCCAGATGGAATTCTTTCCTCAAGTAAGTGAGTTAATCTCATAAAAGCAGACATTAGGCTGATAGAGTAGGGCCTGTCAAAGATGGGGTACATTGACGTTGTGCCAGACTTATGCATTGTAGGATTATAGACTGTAACTAAACACCCATTATTTTTGCCTAGATTAGGTGTTTTTTTTTTAGAAAAACTAATACAATCTGTGAACTCTGAAGTTGCTGTTTAGTGGATAAGTAAGTGTGCTGGATCTTGTGTATTGTGCAAATTAGCCCCATTTATGCATGTTAAGGTGAGTGCAGCCCTCTGGTTTCATATA